CCCTTCCTCCTGACCCCCCCCCTCCTGACCTGACCCACGGAAGGCCCCTTGGCCCAGAGGCCCCGGGCCAACGCCCGAGGTCCCTCCCCCGAAGGCTTCCCCGCGAGGCCCTCCGAGGGTGCCCCGCCAGAGCGGTGTCTCCGTGCCGCACGGTCTTGGGATTCGAGCGCCTCGCCGCGAGGGTGTCTCGGGCGACGGGGGCCTCCAGAGGTTCCCAGGGCCGCGCGGTGGCGGGCCGTGCGGTGAGTGTCACCGCACGGTCTCGGGATCCCCAGAGAACACTTCGCCTTGGGGGAATTTCGGAGGAGGAAGGGGTTCCCGTGCCCTAGACCCCGGCACGTCGCGACGGAAATCACGACGGGAGGTCTGTCGCTGTGTTCTGCTTCCGGGGGCCCTTGCAGGGCCTCCGGACCGTCAAAAGATGACTCAGGATGGTCCGGGGGAATGCATCCAGACCTCTGCATCGACGCTGCGACAAAATCACGACGACGGGGGCCTGGGGAGGCAACGTAGTTTTCGCGCGGCCCCTAAGGCAGGAGAGGACGGGTGGAAGGAAGGGGCAAGCTCATGGGGGGAGGGAGGAAGACGACCCAGGATGAAAAACCCCGTCCCGTGGAATGGGTCCAGACCTCTGGGGGTCGACGCTGCGACAAAAATCACGACACCACGGGGTCCTGGGTCCGGGGAGTATCGGCATGTTGTATTTCTCTTTGCCCCCCCAGCAGAACCACCGCCACCCTTCGCATCCCGTTGCAAACAAAGGCTCAGACGACGCTCCCCCGATGCACCGTGCAGTCTTGTGATTTCCTGCATGCTGGCACGCGCGTGGTTCGCACGTTCGATCTGTCTGCCGATGCGCGCGAGGCTCCCTGCGTCCGTTCGATCTCAGGACCAGCTCGCCGCGAGCGCGCAGAGCCGCCTCGGGGAGTCCATGGTGAGCCAGTCCGGCAATGAGGTCAGCGTCGGCGCCGATTACAGCGTGGAGGACTCCACCGAGCTCGAGAAGTGCGACTACTTCGAGGCCGTCGAGCCGAGCAGCAGGAGAGCAGAACACGGCACGGCCATGAACTCTCGGGAGCCGGCGTGGCCTTTCCTGCAAGGGGGGAATGAGCACCCGCACCGGACGATGGGCGCTTGATGCGCGGCCCTGGGCGTTTACAAGGCAGCCCTGCCCTGTTCGATTCCTTCGTTGGGTGCGTTTACTAGTCGGCTTCGCGTGTCGGGGTGGTTCTCATCGGGGTGGACTGTCTGCCCTCTGTTCCTCGGGCCGGCGCCCGACACCCCCCTCCGCATGGGCGGCGCCTCTGGCGCCGCCCCCCAGCGCGCTCCGCGCGCTGGGGGAGGGGGGTGCGGGGAGGGTCAAGTCGGGCCTGTCCCTCCACGGGAGGAAAGTTCAAGAATAGTCAGAAAATTGTCTGGGGACGATTCTTTGTTTGTTTCTGAATATTGTGTGGCAATTTTTAGATATCGTCTTAATTTAGTGTCGTGAATCTGCCTGACCGGCCCAAGGGGAGGGGCGGCCCGCCGCCCACCAGAGAAAAGCCCTCGCGGGCCTCCGAGAGCTCGTGCGGGTGCGGTGTCTCTTGGCCTCCTGGAGCAGCCCGCAGGCTGGCAGCGGGAAGCGCACCGCCACCACCACCGGGGGGCGGGGGGGGGGTCAGGAGGAGCCGGCGCGACCTCTCGCCGGCCAGAACGCACCCGATCGCCCAAGATGCACGGAGAACATTGGGGCACCTTGCCCCAGACCGACCTCGGTCTGCGACCCCAGTCCGGCTGTACACCACCACCCCTGACCACCCTCCCCAGACATCCGATGTCTTCTTTTTTTGTTTTCAATACGGGCTCCCTAGAAGTCCCGACCCTTTCCCCGGGACCGGTTTTTCATCCCGAGCCGTTTTTTGACGGTCCTGGGGCCCGGCGAGGGCCCCCGGAGGCCAAAAAACTTGGCAGAACCTCCGTCTTGTTTTTTTCAATACGTTGGATCTCGTGATTTTTTCACAACGTCGACCCCCAGAGGTCTGGACCCCTTCCCCGGGACCGGCTTCTCGTCCCGAGCCGTTGTCTGAGGGTCCCGAGGCCCAGCGAGGGCCCCCAGGAGGCCGAACATAGCGAAACCCTCCGGTCGCGAGTTCCTGCCACCGCGCGAGGAGGCCGGGGACCGTGACCCCCCCCTCTCTCTGCCTCCCTGCTCCGGGTGGTGGTCGTGCGGCTCCCGCTCCCCCGCGGCAGGGCTCCCCCGCCGCGTCCCCGGCGGGCGCCGGCGGCGCGCCGGGCGCCGGCCTCGGAGGGCGGCCCGGGCCCGCGGAGCTCGAGCCCGCGGGCCTGGCGCCCGCGGCCGAGGCGCCGAGGTCTGCGGCCTCGACGGGCGCCGTCGTCCGCCACGGCCCCGAGGCCCCGCAGGATGAAGCAGTGGCGAAGCGTCCCGGCATGCGTGTAGGCCTACCGAAGCATGTTCTGAGAGCCTGTTGTGGTTCCCACGGAATGTTCTTATAATTTTTCCGGCTGGGACTATCTTGGTTTTACACATTGGGTTAAAATGTTCTAAGAACATTGTTCTCGTCATTTGAACATTTTGGGGTTCTAAAAGCATTTCGTGGTAGGACTAAAGGAATGACGGGACGGTCGGTCCCTGCTCAACAGGAGGCACCCACACACCATACAGTAAGCACTGATAGTGAGGACGCGCGGCAAGGACGCAGGGGCCTCGGAAGGCCATGCCGGGGCACTTGGAGCGGGGCGCTGCCAGCGAGAGTCCCCAGGGATGGGCCAGATAGGGAGGGATGCCAGGGTACCCAGGGGAAGGTCTAGCTGTCCCTTACTGTCAGTTTTGACTGTGTTCCACCACCGCGCCTTGCCAGGGCCCTCGTGAACCCCATGATGGTTTCGGGCGGGCCCATGACCAGGATCAATCACTCGGGAGCGTTCCAGAGCGCTCTCGAGCGTGCAGTAGCCGGCGTCACCTCAACATACTTGTACTACATGTGCGTCGCCCCCCCCCCAGGGGCGACGCGCACCGAGAAATCTTAAAGTATGTGCGTTTTGGCGGGCGCTTTCTGGCCACGCCGCGCGGGAAACGATATACGTAATTAGCACCCCGCAGATGCGGATAAGAGTAGGGGGCGGTGGGGACGTCGGCAGTTTGCGAGACTCTGGAGAAGCCCGCCGCAGGCGCCAACGTTTCACAAATTCTACAACGAGCCCGCCGCAGGCGCGGATTGTTTCGTCAAACCAATGTGGGTAGGTCGCGGGTGGGTCGCAAATGGGTCGCGGGTGGGTCGCAGGTGGGTCGTTGTTGGGTCGCGGGTGGGTCGCGGGTGTAGAGGGCGGAAAATCCACCCCATATTAATCATCCCGAGAAGCGAAGCCGTTGAGTTAATGCACGCAAGGAGTGCATCGAGCAGGGAAGGGCTGTTTAGTAAACGCCCACGGCCGTTTTAGTAAACGTCAATTGTCGGGTCTGGGTGGTTTCTTCTCCTTTGAGGGTGGGTCGCTGGGTGGGTCGCGGGTGGGTCGCGGGGTGGGTCGCGGGTTTGTCGCGGGTGGGTCGCGGGTGAGTCGCGGATGGGTCGCGGGGTGGTTCGCGGGTGGGTCGTGGGATGGGTCGCGGGTGGGTCGCGGGGTGGGTCGAGGGTGCGTCGCGGGTTGGGTCGCGGGTGGGTCGCGGAGTGGGTCGCGGGGTGTGTCGTTGGGTGGGTCGCGGGGTGGGTCGCGGTCGGGTCGCGGGTGGGACGACGACAACAACAAACAAAAACAAAAACAACAAGAATAACAACACCAACAACAACAACAACACCACCACCACCACCACCACCACCACCACCACCAACAACAACAACAACAATAACAATAACAACAACACCAGCAACAACAACAACAACAACAACAACAACACCAACAACAACAACAACGCAACAAGCATAATTTTCATATTCAGCCACGCACCCAGGGACAATGAATGACCGTTCGGCCCCCTCACTCTGACTACAAGATGGGTATACTACATGTTCGGGTCGGACGCGCGCCTCCAAGGAGGACATATAGTACTAGTATGTCCCTGTGCGTCACATGCAGCTCTCTGGGACGGCCGCGGCGCTCGATTTCTCCTCCAGAACCGCCGCATCTCAGAGATGTCCCCGATTTATCTCAGTCCGACGTTGTCCCAGTCCTGGCCTGGTCTCATGATGTAAGGACCCCTGGCCTCGATCTCGCCCAGGCAGGAGGGCGCATACACCATGCCAGGGCACAGACTGGCCCTGGCAAGGAGGCATCTTGGTGTACAGTGCAGGTGCCTTCTGCTCACGAGACCTCCAAGTCGCCGACCAGCGAGGCGGCCGGGCCACCCGCCGGGAGCGCCGGATCGGCGGCGGCGGGGGCCGCGGCCGCGGCCGCGGACGACTACGAGGACGAGTCCTTCGCCGACGACATGTCCATCCCAGAGTCGATCCCCTCAGGTGGCTCTGGTGAGGGGTCCGGCAGCGACGAGGCCTGAGCGGGTCGCGACCACCGCGAAAGTCAACCGAGGCACGCCGACATTCTCGCGCACGAGAGCCCAGGCCCTCCCGCGTCGCAAGCAGTTGTAGGGACGGAAGGCTTTTGGCAATCTTCGACCTCCTGGGGCCATCACCGGGCCCCTGGGGCTCAAACTTAGCCAACCTAGTCAAACGGGTCACGTTTTGAGCAAGAACCGCGGCGTCGGGGGTCTGGGGAGGCTGGGGGGGGGGGGGGCGAAACTTGGTGCATGCAGCTGGCTCCAGCGCCGCATCTGGGCACCATCCTCGATACACGACCACCTCTGGCGCCGTCGGGAGCGTCGGGAAACCCAGCTTCGTGCAGCCGACTCGCTAGTGCCCGAGCTCTTTGGGTGCAGGGCAAAGGGCGAAATCTGAACTGCCGTTTCGATGGATTTTCGATGCTTGAATCTGCAAAAGGTGAATCACAAGACGGATTGAGTGCAAAAGCCAATATGGATTTCACCCTGAGCCCTCCACCCTGAGAAAACTCTCAGACATTTCAGGAGGGGAAAAACACACAGACACACTTAATATAGGAAGATATGGGAAGTGGGGGGGGAGACAAAAAGGCGGAAGGTATGGGAAAATATGGGGAATCCTGTTATTTGTGTGTATTTATTTCTGTGTCCCAGGGCCCCTTCAAGATTGCCCCCATCTCGCCCACCCCGATCTGGATAGCAGGGCAGGGCGCAGTTGGGCCCCGTCGGGCGACAGCTGCTTGGCCGCTGCTGCGTGGGGGCCGCTCCAGGAGGCACATCCCGTCTCATTGGATTCAAGGCGGGCCTGTCCCTCCACAGGGGGAATTTTCAAAAATAGTCAAGCAATACTCTGGGGAGTATTTTTTTAGTATTTTGGGGCATCGTTTGGGCATGTTTGGGGTATGTTTTTGTCGCCTAAAATTCCCCTGTACGGGGACAGGCCCGACTTAACATTGGATCTGAGGCCCCGAGAAGGCTTGCCATCGCCGCCGTCACGATCATCCACATCATCACATCATCAAAACCTCATCACATCATCAACATCATCAACGTCAACATCTCAGTGCGCAAGAGCAGGGGGGGCAGAGACCACGCGGCTGGTACCGTAGCCACATCGAGAAGATGCGGCCCACCAGCTGGCGATCAATCGAAGATTCTGCCCCTTTTCCCGCATGGTCCCAGGGGGCACGTTGGTATGCTAGAGCGCCTCACGGAACACAATTTCGACGAAACGTGAACCCGAAGACGTCGTGCACCTAGATGTCATTGTCACCGCATGTGTCCGCTGCAGGTGCGCATCGGGCAGTACAGAATGTGTGCGGTTCCGAGGGTCCACGCTCCTCCTCGCTCTCCCCTCGATCCCCCTAACTCCCGCCCCTCATTCCTCACAGGGTCAACGCCTCCCCGCTTCCGCTTCCAGGCAAAGCCAGGCCAGACCACTCGCCGCCTCGTCGCGCCGTCCGACCGCTGCGGGCCACCCCGCGGGCACTCTGGCATCGCCCGGCTCCCGTCGGGAGGCGAGGGCGGCCAGAAGCGAAGCAGGTCGGTGTGCCTCTTCTTCACGCCTCGGCGGCGGGCGAGGAGGAGCAGGCCTTCTCCGAGGGCGGCGTGGCTTCTCAGAAGTCTTCGCGCCCTTTGAGAAGCAGCCTGTGTCCTCGGGGGGAGCTCCGGAAGCTCCTCGGAGGGCCGATGACCTCCGAGCCTTCTGGGAAGGCGGCCCGCCCTCTCTCGTCTCCCCCCTGGCTGGGCGCGCCGCCTGACGCCTCCCCAGACATCCGATGTCTTGATGTTTTCAATACGGGCTCCCTGGAAGTCCCGACCCTTTCCCCGGGACCGGTTTGTTGTCCTGAGGCGTTTTTTTGACGGTCCCGGGGCCCGGCGAGGGCCCCCAGAGGCCCAAAATCTTAGCAGAGCCTCCGTCTTGATTTTTTCGATGCGTTGGATCTCTGGGTCCCTCCCCTCCCTGGCCCGTCTCCCTCGGACCCGCCTCCCCTGGAGGCAGGCCAGGCCGTGCTGCTCCGGGCTCCGTGCCCACCTCCGTCCCCTGGCCCGTGGCCCCTGCCCCCTCTGGGCGGCCAGTCGGGCCTGTCCCTCTACAGGGGGGATTAAAAAAAATCAAAAAAGTGTCAGAGAACGATGTTTTGAGCATGTATTGGCCATTTTGGAGTATGTTTGAAACAATTTTTAATTTTCGTCGAGAATCCCCTCTGTAGGGGGACAGGCCCGACTTAAGGCTAGCGTGGGGGGGGAGGTGAGAAGGGGCGGACCTTCCCAGAGGGCTCGGAAGCCCCCCAACTTCACGAGGAGCTTTCAAGGGCTCCCCTCCCCCCGAAGATGCAAATGCCCTCGCAAAAGGCCGGAGGCCTTCTCAGAAGCCACGCCGCCTTCTGAGAAGGTCTTCTCTCAGGAGGGGAAAAACACAGACACCAATCCTCGCCGATCCCCAGGAACGTGTGGGAACATCCGGGCAGCAAGGGGGCAGACGAACATCCAGATGTGTGCCTGCTTCTCCGTGTGTCCCTGGGCCCCTCCTTTCTCCTCCTTCCCCCTCCCCCCCTCTTCAGGGACAACCATAGGGGGGGATTGGCCTAGGGGGGGGATGCATCGACCCCGAATCGCCCATTGATCGCCGACAGGAGCCCGATAGCCCCAACCTGCCCAGGAAGGTGCGGATTCACCATCGGGGGCCTATCGCCGATCTATCGGCGATGTGTCGCCGATTCCAAGTCGATGCATCCCCCCGTATGCCAGCCCCCCCTCCCTATCTTTGCCCCCCCCCCCCTCGCTCGCCGCCAGGCCTCTGCTCGCCCTCCGCCTCCCCAGGCCCTTGGCATCGCTCGGACGTGTGCGTTTTTCCCTTCGGCGAGGACCATCGAGGAGCATCCTTGATCATCTGGCGCAAAAAGCCACGCACGGAACCCAAAAAACACAGGAAATGGACGTCCAAGCGATGGCCAGGGCCCTCCCGCTCGGGGGCGCCTGGAGGGGGCTCCGGCCGCGCCCTCTGCCGCGATCCTCGGCCTGGGCTCGCCAGGGGCCGCCCTCCCGCGGCGGCGAGGGCGCGAGGGCGCGGAGGACGACTCCCCGCGCGGCGCGCGGAGCGCGGCGCGGAGCGCCGCGAGGCGACCCGGAGTTCTCCCCTCCCTCCACACCCTTGGCCTCCCACTCCTCCAGCTGCTGCTCCTCCAACCCCCTCCCCCGCCTCCTCTTCCACCTCCTCCTCCTCCTCCAACCCCTCCTTCTCCTCCTCCTCCTCCTCCTCCTCTCCTCCTCTCCTCCCTCCCCTCCTCCAACTCCCCCTTCTCTCCTCTCCTCCTCCTCCTCCTCCTCCTCCTCCTCCTCCTCTCCTCCTCCTCCTCCTCCTCTCCCCTCCTCCTCCTCCTCCTCCTCCTCCTCCCCCTCCTCCTCCTCCTCCTCCTCCTCCTCCTCCTCCTCCTCCACTCCTCCTCCTCCTCCTCCTCCTCCTCCTCCTCCTCCTCCTCCTCCTCCTCTTCATCCTGTTTCTCCTCCCCCTCCTCCTCCCGCTCCTCCTCCGCCTCCGCTTCAGCCTCAGCCTCCTCCTCAACCTCTGCCTCCGCCTCCGCCGCCGCCGCCTCCTCCACCGCCAAGGGCAACGTCAGGGTGTGCTGTATCGACCCCCAGTCGCGGGCCTGTCCCCTTACAGGAGGAATATCAGAAAATAGTAAACAAGTACTCTGGGGACGATTTGTTGAGTATGTTTTGACAATGTTTGAGCATTCTCGGAGTTTAATTGTTCGTCGGGACTCTGCCTGCAGGGGGACATGCCCGACCTACCGCTACTTTCGGCCTTCAAGGGCCCTTGTCGGGCTCTGGGGCCGTCAAAAAGCGACTCGGGACGAGCATCTGGTCCCGGGGAGGGGGTCCAGACATTTGGAGGTCGACGTGGTGAAAAACACGACGTCGGGGGTCTGGGTCCCCTCCATCCCACCCCCCACCCATCTGGCGCGCCGTCTCGGTTTCGGGCCAGAAGTGGTCGCACCGCAGCGAGGTGGAGGCGTGCTGGGAGGTCGGGGCCAGTGTCGGGCCAGAAATTGTCGAGCGGGTGCTCCGACGAAGTAGAGGTCCAGAGATGCGATTGTCTTGAGTTTTTTCCCACGTGCGGTCCCTGAAGCCCCGACACTCTTTCCACCACTGAAGCCCCGACCCTCTTTCCAGGGACAGTTTTTCGTCGCGAGTCGCTCTGTGGCAGTTCCATGGTCCTGGTCCGGGCCCCCCAGAAGCCGAAACCGGTTTTTCGTCCCGAGTTGTTTTTGACGGTCCCAGGGCTTGTCGAACGGGCTCAGAATCCAGATACATGCGTTCCAGAGCGCTCCGGAACGCTCTCAGAGCGTTCCGGCACGCTCTGAAACGGCCACGGCGCCCGATGCAGCTTCCAAATCCGCCGTTTCTAAGAGACTCTCGATGTACCTCTGTGCGGCTTTGACTCGATGCTGCCTACGGCTCGGCTTGGTCAGGGACCCGTTGTGATTTTTGTCACTGCGCGAGGGGGTCGTGGGGTCAGGGCCTCCATGGGCCGCACATCGAGGGACAAGCCTGCACCCTGGTTGTGGCGTTAGGTCGGGCATGTCCCCCTGCAGGCGGTTTCTCGAGGACAAATATATAATAGCCAACAATTTTTCCAGAAAGGTCCGAAATGCTGGACAAAATCATCCCCAGATAATGTTTTGATTACGGTGGGGGCGTTTCTTAAGGAACGTGCCCAGGAGGCTTCAGACCCTGGAGGGTTCCTTCTCTAATGAGTGTGACGGTGATATCCATGGCCAATCCACGATTGGAGTTCCACTGGCTTTCAGATCCTGGATCCCTTATCTGAGGGTTCGCGGCCCCGCCGCCGACCGCTGGATCCTGAAAGCCGCCCGTTCCCTAGGCCTTAGGGCGGCTGCTTAGGCTCAGTGAATTGTTCTTGTGCTGTGGAGTTCGACTGGGGGAGAAGGAACCCTCCAGGGTCTGAAGCCTCCTGGGCACGTTCCTTAAGAAACGCCCCCACCGTAATCAAAACATTATCTGGGGATGATTTTGTCCAGCATTTCGGACCTTTCTGGAAAAATTGTTCTTGTGCCGTGGAGTTCGACTGGGGTCCTCCAGGGGTCCTCCAGGAGCTCTTCGGAAGTTGGCGGCGAGCGTGAGCGGTCTCCGCTCGCGGAGGTTGCGGCCCCGTGCGCGGGCCTAGTTATGCACGTGCGCGAAGAGGAGGTCCTCCTCCTCCTCCTCCTCCTCCTCCTCTCTCCTCCTCCTCCTCCTCCTCCTCCTCCTCCCTCCTCCTCCTCCTCTCCTCCTCCTCCTCCTCCTCCTCCTTCCTCCTCCTCTCCCTACCCTCCTCCTCCTCCTCCTCCTCCTCCTCCTCCTCCCCCTCCTCCTCCTCCTTCCATTCGGCCGCGAAGAGAGAAACAATGCCCCCACCGTATTTTGGAATATTCCTCCCGTAGAGGGGCAGGCCTGACTGAATTGTGGCAGGGCGCTGCGTGTCCGGAGCCTGCGCATGCCGCCCGCCCCCGCCGCGCCCGCCGGAGAGAGCAGGGAGCAGGGCGGGAGGAGGAGGAGGAGGAAGAAGAAGAAGACGAAGACGAATAATAATAATATTATTAATGATAATAATAATAATAATGATAATAATCATAATAATAGTAGTAATAATAATATTAATAATAATAATCATACTACTAATAATAATAATACTACTAATAATGATAATAGTAATAATAATAACAATGATAATAAAAGTAATAATAATCATAATCGTAATCGTAATAATACTAATACTAATAATAATGATAATAATAAGAAAGAAGAGGAAGAGGAGAGGAGGAGGAGGAGGAGGAGGAGGAGGAGGAGGAGGAGGAGGAGGAGGCGGAGGCGGAAGCGGAGGAGGAGGAGTGCCTCCTCCGCGCGACGAAGCCCGCCCCCGACGCGGCTCCCCGCCCCCCGGCGCGCGCGGAGGCCGCCCGGAGCCCCCTCCGCCGCCGCCGGGGCCGGCGCGCCCGCGGCGCCGCCCTCGGCTTTCAGGGGTGCGTTGTGCGGCTTGGGCGCGGGTCGATGAAACGAATCGAGCAGTGGAGAAGCGTCCCAGCTCGCCTATAGGCCTACCGAAGAATGTTCCAAGAACCTTTTGTGTCTCCACGAAATGTTCTTGGGACATTTCGGGCTGGGACTGTCTTGTTTTGACACATCGGGCTTATGTTCTAAGAACATTGTTTTTGTTCTCGGAACTCTTTGGAGTTCTAAGAACATGTCGGTAGGCCTATAGGAATGCCGGGACGGTCGGTCCCTGTTCAAACGAAAGACCTCTCAAGCTGTGGATGCGCAACTTTTTCACGCCTTGCTCTAGTTCATGCCAAAGAGTGACTTCTAGATTCGAGCCTCGGCGGCTACGGAAGCGCAAAGCATGCGTGCATGTACACGTGCACTCTTGCAGCAAATCATGCGGGGATGTATCGCAGTCGTGCGCCTCTCGGGTGCTCTCTCCGGTGCTCTCTGGGCCCCCGAATGGGGCCCCCAGGAGGCCCTAGGAGAGCCTCCAGGAGCCGCCGAGAGGCCCCCAGGACGGCCAAAGAGGGCTCCGGGGGCCCCAAGACGGCCCAAGAGGCTCCCAAGGCGGCCCCAGAGGCCTCCAAGACTTCCTGGTGCTCCCCGAAGCTCTCTGGTCAGGAGGGGAGAAACCACCCAGACACGATTCACCGTCGCTTCCGCGAAAAGATGGAACATATGAGAAGGGGGGGAGAAGACGAGCATCCAAAACATATGTTTAAAC